AGTGGGCCCCCCGTTCCGGTCCTTGCCCGCGCGCGCGGTCACGATGGTGTTGTGCGCGCCGCTGACGGCGGGGCCGTGGTCGCCGGTGACCATGAGGATCATCTCGATGGCCAGGCAGTGCCAAGGGGGGGCCGCCACGACCCGCGAGACCCGGGCCCCCTCGTGTCCTGGAAGACTCGCGACGGACGGCTTCTCATCGTTTTTCGGTCTCCGGGGGCCCTCGCTGGGCCCCAGGACGCAGGATTCGGCGGCGAGCGAGAGAGGGAAGTGAGAAGGAGAAGGCCTTTTCAAATCAGAAGGCGGCGGGACTTCTCAGCAAGACTCCGGCATTCTGACAAATTTTCTGTGTCCTCGGGGAAAGCTTGGAGAACTTCTCAGAAGGGCGGAGGACTTCCGAGCCTTCAGAGAAGGCCCGCCCGTTCTCAATTCCCCCCTGGGCTCGCCACCGAAGGATGAAAAGCCGGCCTGGAATGGGTCGATACCTGCGCTATGACAAAGAAATCACGGGGGGGGGTCCTGTGGGGGGCGGAGGGAGGGCAGCCTCCTTAGGAATGCGGCGCGGGGGGCCTCTTTTACTTAGAACGCAGGGGCCTTCTCAGAGGCGCTCGAATGCTTCTGAGGAGCACGGTCGGTAAAGCCTTCTTGATTTGTCGCGAGGTGTCCCTGGGCCGTCTCAACGCTCTCTTGGACTGTCTCGGCGCTCTGTTTGGGCCATGTCGGCCTAGGGCAGAAAAACAACCCTGAATAGCATGAGACCATCCGCCAGCCAAGACACCCCAAGCCATAAGATCACTCGAGGGTGCACTCCCCCAGGACGCACAAGAACATCCAACAAGCACGAAGAACAGGGGGGCACCCACCCCGAACCGACCTCGAGCTTATACTGCGGTCCGACCGTACGGCTTCTGAGAATCTGGGTGGACTTCTGGGAAGCCACCGGCCTTCTTCTCAGAAGCCCCCCCGCTCTCCTGAAGGGCGGCCCCCTCGTACCCCCACCCCCCCTTGCGCGCGCCGCCAAGCTGAGGGGGTCGCCAGTCCCAGCAGCCCTTCAGGGGCAGGTAGTTTAGAGCGCTTCCTCTTCAACTTCCCTTCTTCCCCTTCGGGGAAGGGCTTTCCCCCTCCCCGTCCCCCCTCCCCCTGGGTCTGGACGGGAGCGGCCGCGAGCGGTCAGAGCGTCCTAAGGAGCCTTCAGCGAGAAGGTGCAACTCATTGAGGTCCGATCGGTTTAAAACCAAGGTGGGCTTCCTTGGGGGGGCTGTTAGGGGACCCCCCCTTCTTGGATTGATAGCCTCCCAGATTGCCCAAAGACGCCCAGAACAGCCATCCCCATCCCCTTCCCCCCTGGGTCTTGGCGGGAGCGGCCGCGAGCGGTCCGAGCGTCCTAAGGGGCCTAAAGCAAGAGGGCACAACTCATTGAGGTCCTATCTGCTTAAAACCAATATGGGCTTCCTTGGGGGGGGGGGCTGTTAGGGGACCCCACCTTCTTGGATCGATAGCCTTCCAGGTGGCCCAAAGGCGTCCAGAAAAGCCCTCGAGGGAGGATGTACCCAAGAGGAGGCCCCAAGGGGCCCCCCTGAAGCACCCGATGCGCCTCAAGAGGCCCCCGAGACGTCAAGAGACACCCCAAGAGACTCAATGAAGCATCGAAGCATCCAAGAGGCCTTTGGCCCACACAGGCCCCCGATATTATGAGTGCCACGCTCCCCCGTTCAAGGCAGCGCCGCTGAGCATCATGTCTGGATGGGCTGGTGGGGAGACGCGAAGCTTTACTAGTTCCTCCAGGAGGGGGACCTCCCGAGACCCCCAAGAACCAGCACAGGACTCCCAATGACGCCAACAAGCGTCCAGAACCTTCTTGACTTTCGATCCTGCCTCCTCCCCCCTCAAATCTGACGTCTCAAACAAACGGCGAAATCGTACAACAACTCGACCAAAACCCATAACCCCATCTTTCTGCTGCATGTCTCAAGCCGTGTCGATATGTGAAGGTCCAGGGGCCCAAAACAAGGCAAACTCGCCCGTTGTCAAAAACATGTGACGCCCGGCTCTGAGGGGAAAGCGGCGCTTAGTGGCGTCCCAAATGGGTCCGAGTAGACGGGGTCGGAGGTCGCCACGCATCGCGGATGCATCGCCGATGCATCGGCGACGTCGGCATGGAGAAAATTGGGCTCCACATCGAGCCGCATCGCCGATGCATCGGCGATGCGGCGCGATCCTCCGACCCCATCCACTCCGACCTCATCTTCGGGCGCACGCTCACATGGATTCGTGATCCGTGGATCTGGCGCGTGAGCGCCGTATCCATGGATCGGGGAACGTACCCCCGACACATGAGGCCAATACGGCCTCATTCGGCGGCAGCGCGCCATTGTTGTGTGGAAACGGGAACCGTCGCTACCCCACGCGCCTCAATCCATACTGGCGTTCCCTCGTTGCCCCCCTCCCCTGGTGGGGCCCCCCGTGGCACTGCCCGGGATGAACTTGGTGCACGCGGGGGGCAACTGGCGGCGGAACCACAGCAGCGACAGGACGCCGCCGATGCCCAGGTCCTCGGCGGCGGAAAGAGGCGACGAGGCCCTGCGAGCGACGACGACGACGGAGCCGCCGCCTCCGACGCCGCCAAAGACAACGACGACGCCGCCAACACCGCCGACGACGTCGACGCCGACGACGACGACGACGAGCCCTCAGATCCTGGCAACGCAGAAAAATCGCGGCCGCCGATCTTTGAACGTTTCGGCCCGATTGCCGCCCCCAGGGACCAGCTTTCCATCCTGAGACGTTGTTTGAGTCCAGGGGCCAGGGAAGGGCCTGTGGAGGCCAGACCTTGCCAGAAGACGCCCGTCGTGATATGTCTACACGGCGCGAGGATGTCGGGGGTAACGAGAGGGCAAGGCAAGCCTGCTTCACGACGCGAGGGTGCCAGGGGAACGAGGGAGGCAGGGGGGCAGGGCAATGGAGGCGCGAGTGCGTTTTCAGGCCCCCGCGCCCTCCAAAGGGTCGCCCCTCGCCCAGGCCCATTTCACCTCCACCGGCCGCTCCCCTCCCCTCCCGTCCAATCAAGGAGCAGTCGGGGGGGGACCGGCTCAGGGGGGGGGAACACCGAGCTCGCATCGGCAATGCATCGGCGACAGGTCGGCGAGAGGCCCCCGACAGCGAAACGGTACGCTCCTTGGCGGAGTGGTATCTGCCGGGCTCCGATCGGCGATTAATGGGCGATTGGGGGTCGATGCTTCCGCCCCTGAGCCTGTCCCCCTCTCCCGGGTCGTCTATCGTTCCTCCCCGGATCGTCTGTCGTTGCCCCCGTCCCCTTGGCATTCGGTCCTGGGCGAAGACCTCGGTGATCGTCACGCCGCAATACTTCAGCTCCTCGCCGCGGTCGTCCGCAATGGAGGAGATGAAGTTGGCCGGCTTGCGCACCATGCCGAGCTTCTTGGCCCACGTGTAGTCCATGGGCACCTGGCCGGCCAGCAGCAGGTGCCAACCCAACGGGGGGGCGGAGCGAGAGCGCAAGATGAGGTGTCGTGGCGACCACGTACTTTTTGATCACCAGCTCGTTCCATGTTGGCCGATTCTGTGCCACGGGCGGCGTTTCACCCTGAACGCCCGCGCGTGGGTCGCAGCCGCACCAACAAGACTAAAGGGAAATTAGGACACACAAATAAATACACACAAATAAAAATAGTCCCCATATTTTCCCATATTTTCTGGGTTTTTGTCTTCCCCCCCAATTCCCATATTTTCCCATATTTTCATGGGAATCGAGGATTAATTGTGTCTGTGTGTTTTTTCCCTCCTGAAAGACACGAACCTACCGTACATTTTCTCGGCACGCGCGAGGCATGGCGGGCCCACTCGACAAGAAGGCACACCGAGCAGGAGACCCACCTGGCGGAGATCTTGGGACACCAGTGCTGCTCCGACATGGACATCGCAACACATGCTACTCCGGATTTCGTGATAAGAGGGAGGGGGTCTGGACCCTCCAAGACGAGCCATTTCAGACCTCCCCCTCGTGGGAGAGCCCTCCAAAGCATCGTCCCCAGACCCCCCCAGGGCCCTCCAGGACAGCCTGGAAGAGACCCACCCCGAAATGAGACCCCCCTCCCTTTATAGTTCGAGACCTGGAGTACGTGGACGAGCCTGGGAGACCACGAGCCCATAGCTGACGACGTCTCCTTCTGCCTCCCGCCGCCCTCCGCCGACCCTCTCCGCCGGCGGGCCCGCCGCCGCTCCACCACGGCCGCCGCCCTCCGCCGAGAGCAGGATGAGCCGCATGCGGGGCCAGCTCTGGAGCGCGACAGCATGCGAGAAACCATGGTGCAATATAAGCAATATATATATACATATATATATGTATCTATATACATATATATATATATATATATATATATCTGTGTGTGCGGTGCCTGCCGTCGGGATGGCGCTTTACTTCGTGCGGCTGATGCCCGCACGCCTCATCGCCAACTACCGCCTCCAATGAGCGCCCTGACGACTCTTCCGACTGCTCCCCTTGGGATTGCCACCTGCCCCATCCCACCCCCCTGGGCAGACAGCTTGGCCCGCCTCGGCTGACACCTCTAAGCAGCACCCCGGCGTTTCTCCCGCCCGCCTGCCTCGGAGCACTCGCCCGTGCCAAGTGCCTCACGGCCCAGCAACATGACCGCTCCAGCTGACACCTCCAAACAGGAACCAGCGTCTCTGCGGTCGCCTTCAAGCGGAATACCAACCTGTGTCCTGCACCCCCACTGGCTTGGTCGACAGAGCGACTACAATCAAACGCCTTCCCAACGTTTCCTCAAATTCGACGCAAGATTTGTTCGTGACGTGGACACCTGGACTTCTCGACTCCGTCCTGGACGGAGCGTTTCCAATCCTGAGCAGATTTCCAATATGCGGGCCTCGCCTTCTAGGGGACTGCGAAAAACTAAGGATGATGATGGAGATGATGACGATGCTGCTGATGATGGTGATGATGGTGATGATGATAATGATGATGATGAGGAGGAGGAGGAGGAAGAGGAGGTGCGCTGGGAGGAGGTCGATGAGAGGGAGTGGGGAGGCTTGTGGTAGCTCAGTGGGATTATAAAGAGGATCTCTCGGTAGTTCTAGTGAGTCCACATGAAGTGGAGGAAGGAGGAGGAGGAGGTTTGCTACCCAAACTCGCTGCCCCCCCTTCATGCAAGTCATCTTGCTGGAGCCTGAGACAAGCAACCTCGGATTCGGGCTCCTGGCGTGATCTTGTCGAGGACTCCGATGCGACTGAAGCTCTGGCAACGAGGGCTCTCCAAGTGACCAGAAAATGGAATATGACACCCAAGCTCATTACTGATCCCCCTGATCCTCCTCCTCCTCCTCCTCCTCCTCCTCCTCCTCTTCCTCACCCTCCTCCTCCTCTGTCATCCTCCTCCTCCTCGTCCTATGATCCTCTCTCCTCTCGCCTCTCTCTTCCTGTTCCTCTTCCTCCTGCCCCTCCTCCTGGAGGGAGCTCGCGGAGGCGGCTCGGCCTGGGGAGTCTCGCCCTCCGGCGTCTCCACGATCACGCCCTGCAGAACGAGGTCCTTGTACACCTCCGAAGTTCGGCGCCCCTCCTCCTCCTCCTCCTCCTCCTCCTCCTCCTCCCTCCTCCTCCCACTCCGTGTCCTCCTCCGCCTCCTCCTACATCCCGTTTGCTTATACATAACTCCTCTCTGTCGCACGCGCCCCCAGACGTGACCGTAGGGCGGGCGGGGCGTTCTGCCTGAGACTTCTCCGCCATTCACGACATGGAAGATTAACATTTGGACAGTCTCACGGACGTCGCGCGGGTGCTTTTCAAAATGTGGCTCTCGCCTTGGCGCCGCGCGCATTCGTTCTGAAAGTGTGCAACAATTTCCCGGATGGAAGGCGGGTCCTTGTCAAAGTATGGCTGTCGCCGTAGCGCCGTACACATTTCAAAATGCGAAACATTTCACGGATGGCGGACGGGTCGTCTTCCAATGATGGGTCTCGCCTTTGCGCCGTGCACATGTGTCTTGATAGTTTGCAGCAGTTCCAAAGATGAAGGGCGGGTCCTTTCCAAAATGCTGCTCTCGCTTCAGCGCCGCACACATTCGTCTTAAACTTTTGCAGGAGCTTCACGGATGCAGGGCTTCAAAATGTGGCTCTCTCCTGAGCCTCAGGAACATTCGTCTGACAAGTGCGCAACAGCTTCACGAATGGAGGGAGGGCCCTTTTCAAAGTATGACTCTCGCCTTACCGCCACGCGCATTCGTCTTTAAATGTTTGCAGCTGTTTTAAAGATCGAAGGCGGGCCCTGTTCAAACTGTGGCTCTCCTCCAAGTGCCGCGCACATTCGTCTTTAACATTTGCAGCAGCTTCAAAGATTTCCATGGTCGAAGTCCAACGAATGGTGTTCTGGCATGGTTCAGGGCTCGCAGAACGAAACAGTCACGTTGATTCGCGGTGCTGCAGTCCGAAGAATCTCTTTCTGGTACGGTGCACGATTGTCAGGGCGCAGCAATGGCGTTGATCCTCGGCGTTGAAGTCACAGGATCTGTGTCCAGGAACGGCTGAAGATTCTCAGACGGCTGCCTTCTAAAAGGGCACTTCCCGCACAATTTGCCAGGATACACGAAAGGGGAGAAGGTAGGGAGAGCGTAATGCAACACCGTTGATGCGCCATTGGGTTTGCACTGGTCATCCTCCGTGTCCCTTTTCTCCTCATTTCTTCTCCTCCTGCTCCGCCTCCTCCTCCTCCGTCTCTTCCTTTCTCTCCCTCCCCCCGCCTGTCCCAGGTGCGCTGTCACACATTTCTGCTTCTCACCTGCCTGGGTCAGGGGCGCTCGCCCTCAGGATTGTTCGACCGTCGGGTGCGCTGACCTCAACAATATCGCCGTTCGATCGAACCTCCTCCTCCCAAAGGAGGACGAGGAGGAGGAGGAGGAGGAGAAGGAGGACAAGGAAGAGGAAGAGGATGAAGAGGCGAACCAGGCCGCCCAAGATTCCACTCGGCCCGCCCCGAACGGGCCCGATGGGAGGGAGATGTGCGATGTTCGTTGTTAATGTTGTTGTTGTTGTTGTTGTTGTTGATGTTGTTGTTGCTGTTGTTGTTGTTGTTGGTGTTGTTGCTGTTGTTGTTGTTGAACATTATTTATTCTAAAGAATAATTATTGTTGGGCCCCCTGGTGCGCGCCCCCCCTGCGCCGCCTAGGCCGCAGCTACATTTTCATCATTTTCGTGAGGAAGCCTCAGAAAAGAGGGTGTGTACAGGATCCGGTTGTTTTGTTGTAATCCGCTTTCCCTTGCAAAAAACAATAGAAAATGACATTTCTTGTTCTAATATAATCAAATTTCAAGAATCCCTTGCAAAAAATAAGGTAAAGTGGACATTCGCGCGCGCAAGACGAAATCCTTCCAAAACCTTAGTGTTCGCAGCGATTTTAACATAAAAACATCAAAAAACCAATGGTTTTTCAACAAAAAAATGTCAAAATCTCATCCCGCGCGCTCTTGCGGATTCGTAGGAAACCCAACACTTTTTAAACATTTCTGTCAAACGGGCTTTTGCGAGCAACTTTTTCGAACTTCTGCGACAACGGTTGCGCACCTGCCAGGGCCATCATCCCTGTCAAATAATACCATGCGGGACACATTCGTTTTTTCTTCGCGCGCGCACGCCGTCGTCGTCGGCCGCGGGGCCCTGAATAGTAGCCACGGTCGTCCGCATGCCACGAAGTGAAGTGTCCGAACGTCATAGGGCGGGAAGCTGGGTGTGGGTGGTGGCGAAGAGTCGTTTGGAAATTTGGTAGAGCTTGAACCGGCCCCCCCACAAAGTGGGGGTATTGCCCGCCTCCTATGAAAACCCTGGCACTGGTGAGAACGGAGTGTCCCCACGTGCTAGTAATTGTTGTTGTTGTTGTTGTTGTTGTTGTTGTTGTTGTTGTTATTGTTGCTGTAGTTGTTGTTGTTGTTGAACTCTCACGACTGCAGGCTAATTATTGTTGCTCCCCTCCATTGTGCTTTTCAGTTGACAGCTTCCCCCGGGTTTCGCATCCTGCTTTTTTGCCCGGGAAACCCACGGGGCTCACACTGTGTTGTTGGCCCCCGAATGGCAACAACAACGGCCCCCGCTTGAACTTTCCTTACAAATTAGCCAGGAACCCCGCTGCCGCCTGGGACTTCCTCGCATTTTACTCAGGCATCGCGCTCACGCTTGGGACTTCCTTACAATGTATTAAGGGATCGCTCTCTCGGCGCGCTGGAGCCGCGCTCTCGCTGGACACTCGCTGGCAATGTACTACAGAATCGCGCTCTTGCGTTGGAATGCCCCTCGATTTGCTCAAGCGCCGCGCTCCCGACACTCAGGCACCCAGGAGTCGCGGTGACGCCCAGGACTCCCTCACACCTTATTTAAGGATCCCGCTGCCCTTCGTGGCCCCGTTGCAGCCCTTCGTGGCCCCCATCGCTGCCCTTCGTGGCCCCCCTCGCTGCCCTTCGTGGCCCCCTCGCTGCCCTTCGTGGCCCCGTTGCAGCCCTTCGTGGCCCCCATCGCTGCCCTTCGTGGCCCCCATCGCTGCCCTTCGTGGCCCCCTCGCTGCCCTTCGTGGCCCCCATCGCTGCCCTTCGTGGCCCCCATCGCTGCCCTTCGTGGCCCCCTCGCTGCCTTTCGTGGCCCCCCTCGCTGCCCTTCGTGGCCCCCTCGCTGCCCTTCGTGGCCCCCGTCGCTGCCCTTCGTGGCCCCCCCGCCGCCCTTCATGGCCAGGCTGCGACCCTTCGCGGCCCCCTCGCTGCTCTTCGTGGCCCCCATCGCTGCCCTCAGTGGCCCCGTCCTTGTACCCTGCGGCCTAACATACGCATGCCCTCCGCGGCCCCGCTGTCGCCCTTCGGGGCCCCCTCGCTGCCGGTCGCGGCCCCGTTGTGACCCTCAGTGGCCCTGTCGTTGCCCTGTGGCCCCGCATTATCTTCCCTTCGTGGCCCCCGCTGGTTCGCGCCCGTCGTGGCCCCATACGCATGCCCTTCGTGGCCCCGCTGTCGCCCTTCGTGGCCCCAGTCCTGCCTTTCGTGGCCCCGCTGTCGCTCTCGCTCTCGCTATCGCTTTCGCTCGTCGTCGTCGTCGTCGGCGTCGTCGTCGTCGACGTCGTCGTCGTTGTCGTCGTCGTCGTCGTCGACGTCGTCGTCGTCGTCGTCGTCGTCGTCGTCGTCGTCGTCGTCGTCGTCGTCGTCGTCGTGGTGGTCGGTCCCTGTCCGTCCCTCGTGGGGTCGTGGGGTCTTGTTGACGCCAATCAGCGCTGTTGCTGGCCAACCCGACGGTCCGCGACCGCCCCGCCGCTCGCCGGGGTCCGGCCTGCAGGGAAGAAATAGATACCCCCCAGAAAGGGTACGATCGAAGACGAAGAGGGCGGGTATCGAGGGTTTGGGACATACACGTTGGATGGCACTCGAACAAATAGGAGCGGGCTGTTTTAAAATGAGTGTTGTTGTTGTTGCTGCTGTTGCTGTTGTTGTCGTTGTTGTGGTTGTTGGTTTTGTTGTTGTTGTTGGTGTTGTTATTGTTGTTTGTTTGTTGTTGTTGTTGCTGCTGTTGTTGTTTCAATCGGGGAGTTCTTCTTCGATTTCGGCCCTGGGGTCATCATCGGGCCCATGTGTCGTCCAAAAAAACAAAAAAAGACCTGGTGCAAACAGCTGGCCTGGCAAAGGCGTTGGGACCCGTGGGGCCGCGTACCGAAGAATCGCAGATCGTCGGATGTCTGAGGGAGGGGTGGAGGGAGGGAGGGGGAAAGGGGAGGGAGGAAGGCGGAAGAAGAGCGAGGACCGGAGCAGGGCCAGTCGAGACGCCGACGGCCCTCCCCTGCGTGCTTCGCTCTCTTCGGGCCTCCTGGAGGCTTCTCGTCGCCACGGCTGGATCTGCCTCGAAGAGCGGGTCAGGATAGACCCCAGGGGCGGGTCCAACGACAGATTTCGAGCGGATCTGGGCTGGGCACTGGCAGCTAGTGGCCACGAGGTATCGCCCAACCTTTGATGGTGGGTCGGGAAAAGGGAGGGGGGGCGTCTCACGGAGTCGGGGAATCCCCTGGTGCACCTAAAGGCTCCTCCTCATACTCCTCCTCCTCCTACTCCTCCTCCTCGTCCTGCTGCTCCGCCTCCTCCTCCTCCTCCTCCTCCTCCTCCTCCTCCTCCTCTTTGCCAGGTCCTCCTCGGCTTCCTCATCCTCCGCCTCCTCCTCCTCCTCCTCCTCCTCCTCCTCCTCCTCCTCCTCTTCCTCTCCTCACCAGTGGCGACCATGCAAGGGCCCTCGGGAAGCTCCCATACTGAAACTGTTGCCCCTGGCGTCAGGCACTATAGGTCGCATCGGCGCAGGGGGGCACGGCGGGAAAATGCAAGGCAGGCCTCAACAAGCTGGCACGGTGAGGATGAGGATTCGAGTAGGGGGTCCACTACAGAATTGAGTTACCCCAGGATTGTGTTCGTCCGACCTGCAACACAAGTACGTGGACTGCTCGCAGACCTACGAACAGTCTGCGTACTTTTAACCGAGCCGACGACTTCAATTTTGGGGTACATCGATTATGTCGCCGATCTCCTACCCGAAGGATGAGGAGGAGGGGCCACGTCAGATGAGGCACTGCAGCATTGACCACGGCCCTGCCCCTCTGCAGAAAAGAGCCCTGAGCAAACAACAACGGGGGATCATGGGGTTGGTCGGGGCTCCATCCGTCTTCGTGCAGGGGTCGAACTTGGTCGAAGTTACGAGAGTGCCGGAGTTGCGGGAGGGCAAGGCGCTGCCTGGCCGTCGCTCGTACGTCCATTCCGCGGGCATGTTGCGATTTCGTGCGTTTATGTTTCGCAATGTGATCCAGTGGACTTGTCGCCCAGGACAATACTGTATGCACGCGTCCGAGCGATGCCAAGACGAGGGGGCAAGGCGTTGTTGTCAAAGGGAAGCTTGAGCACAATTGTGGTGGGGCATCCGCATGGGATGGCACAGCCCGGCCTGGGAGATCAGCTCCGGCAGCTTGTCGAAGGAGTCGGGGACGTGGATGCCCGCCTCCTTCATGGCCTTGTTCTTGGCGGCCGCCGTCTCCATGTCGCCGCGGGCCTGACAAGTTCCGTTCCCGCCCCAGAGAGTGGACACTCGAGGATCGAGGAGCATGCCATCGCTCGGGCGTCCATTCCCCGTCCATTGTTTGGTTTCGTGCGTAATTTTTGACTCGGTGATCGAGGATGCTCCTCGATGGCCCTCGCCGAGAACAAATGCGCACGTCCGAGCGATGCCAAGGGAGGAGGATCGAAAAGGAGGAGAATCGAAGATCGCGGAGAAGAACGATCAAGGAAAACCCCGACATCCTCCGTGTCCCACCTTCGGGCTAGGAGGGGCCTCGCGGGGACCAGGAACGGTCAAACAACTACTCTGGAAGAAAATTCAGCCGCGGAGAAGGGATCCCAAATCACTCGCGACCCGACGTTTTCGGTGACGGATTTCGGTCGCGACCGGAGGGGGTAGCATCCTACCAGCCCTCTGGGCGCAGGTGGCTTAAAGAGTTTTGTCTTCTCTCTGCCAAAGCTCCCTCATTCCCCTGTTCGGGGAGGGGTTTATCATTGTTCCCCATCAATATACACCTCCTCCCCAGGGCGACCGGCGGCCAACCAGGAACCATGAAGGCCCCTCCCCCCACCATCCCTGTCAACAAACAATGCAAAACGCACTCTGCCTCCACGTTTGGAGCATGCGCGGCCAACCCGGTGCGGACCCCCCACCACCATACATGTCAAAAAACATACAATGTACACTTCGGGGCGAAGTCTTGAGTCATGTTCGTAAGGCCCGCAAGTACTTTGTATTGTTGTTGACAGGGACGGCGGGGGTGTCAGAATGTTGCCTGCTGCGCGCAAGGCTGCCATCCCTAACAACAAACAATACAACATGGACCTCGCGGCTAAATCTGGATAGTGTGCGGCCACTCCGCGATCACTGTCAAATTAATGTGACAGGGACTGAGGGGGTGGTGGCGTATGGCATGCTGTGCGCAGGCCCACCAGACACAATGATAGGCATTGCTGTTCACAAGGATGGTGGGGGCCGACATGTTTCCCGATGTGTGCTGTCACGTGCGCAGGCGCACCTGACACACTCTGCGCGTGCCCCGAACGTGACGCACCTGGCGCGGCTGGAGTATGCGGCACACCTGGCGCACGCGGGGCACGTGGCGCATCTGGCGCACCAGGCGTGCCTGGCACGCTCGGGCCCCAGGGGTGCCTAGCGCGCGTGGCGCGCCTGGCACGCGTGGCGCACCTCGCCCCAGCGTCGCGCACATTTGATGTTGTTGGGTTCCCAGTAACTGCCAATCCAAAGACGACCGCTGAACATGCCGAGGCTCGGGTGTGACTTATGTATTGGGAGGGCGGGTGGGAGTGAGCTAGACGGCTTGCTATCTAGGAGGGTGTCTTGACCCCTTCCCCTACCCCTTACCGCGGGCTTGGGAGAGGGGGGGGGGCGGAGCGGTCAGAGCGTCCAAGATGGCCTCGTATGGCCCCAAGAAAGCTTCAGAGACTCCAAGATGGTCTCCAAAATGGCTCAAGATAACTCAAGATGGCTGAAGATAGCATCCGACATACCTCCAAAAGGCCCACGGACAGCCCCAAGACGGGTCCAAGGGCCCTTCGAGCCACCCGAGGAAGCCTTGAAGGAGCCCAAATCCTCCAACAACCTCAAGAGTTCCTCCAAATGAAGTGTGTTCTGCCTTCTCGCCTTTTCGCTTCAGATGGGCCTTTGAGACCTCGAGATGGCCCCAGGATGGCCCAAGCGAGCCCCAAGAGGAGCCCAAGAGGGCCGCACGAGGGCCACAAGAGCGCCCAAGAGTGCCCAACGATGGCCCCAACACGCCATTTTGGAGCACCTGATGGGGCCTAAACTAATCCCCCGTGTTGGGCCATGGCGCCAAGACGGCCCCGAAAGGCCTCCCCGAAGGAGCCCCAAGACGCCCCCGAAGAGTCCCAAAAGGGCCTCAAGAGGTACAAGCCATTCAAAAACCTTAGGCAACGCAGCGAGGACGCCTTGAAGGCGCCCAGCTCCTTCGAAAGCCTTGAGAAAAAACAGTATGCTTTGCGTTCTCGCCTGTTCGCTTCCGAGGGGCCGCTGGAGCCTCAGGGTGGCCCCAAGGTGGCCCAAGAGAGCCCAAGAGACGCCAGCACAAGCGCCCAAGGGTGCCCCAAGATGGCCCCAGCACGCCTTCTTTGAGCCTCCGATGGCGGGCCTGAACCACTCCCCCGCTTTTTGAGCCATCGGTGCAAGACGGCCCTAACAGGCTTCACAGACCTATCCAAAGGAGCCCCCCGACTCCCCCAAAAGAGTCCCGAGAGGGCCTCAAGAAGTAAAAGCCATTCAGTCAGCGAGGAAGCCTTGAAAGAGCCCAAATCCTTCAATCACCTGAAGAAGATCAGCCTGTTTTGCTGTATCGCCTTTTCGCTTCCGATGGCCTTCCGAGGCCTCAAGATGGCTCGGACTGCAGGGTACTGCAGGGTGTTTGCAGGGTCGTTGTAGGAGTCTTTGAAAGGTCTTTGCAAGGCCTTTGCAGGGTCGTTGTAAGACATTTTCAATCGGCTTCCAGGAGGCTCGCGGAGCGAAAGCTCCACGACGGTTTCATGGTTGACTCGTCATTGCCGTCGTCGCCTTCATCGTCGTCCCCCTTCCTCCCCATCCATCTACTGATTCATGCTCTTCTTCATTTCTTCCTCTTCCCGTTCTCCTTTCCTCCTTCGTCCTCGCGTTGCCAAAGATTGCCTCCCCGCCCCGACAGGAATTCAGGATAACTACAAGAGGGACCCCAGAAGACCCCGATGAAGCCACCGCCCCATTGGAACTTTCCTTCAACAACTATTCCCGCCGTTTCAGCGCCCTCGAAACACTTTCAAGGTGGCTGTTCCGCTGCATGTTTCTACACTTCCCTGATCAAGGCAACTCACCTGGTGATATGTTTCTGGATGGGCTCGTGGCGATATTTTTTGGTACGCGGGCGCGCGAAATGGGTCGAACGCGGGGCTAGCACGGGCAAGCTATGCCACCGGCTGCGGGCTGGTGGGGATTTTTGATCGCGACCGCGGCGAGGAAAGGTCGGGCGGCGTCCAGGGAATTGCAAACTAGCAACGGCTTAACTTAGCGCAAAGGAAGAGGAAGGCGAACAGAAAAGAACAAGAACGAGCAGGAGAGAGACAAACAGGAGGCGAGCGGCTGGTGGGGATACGCAAAGCGTCAAGAATTTCGATAACACAAGGACGGCGCGACGGCGCGTCTGGGTCCGAGCGAGGGTTGAATACATCGATAGACCGATCGTTACCGGGATTCGCGGCTGGAGGCAGAAACACGGTCGCGACCCGTTCGTCAAGAGAGGTTCTGGAAAACTTCGGTAACGGATGATCTGTGATGGACATGGGAGGATGGGCGAGAGATGGAAGAATCAACCACGTAATCATACAGTTCTGGTTTTCGAAAGTTTATGTTCACGTTATTGCTTGTTCTTCTTGGAGGAAACGCAGAAAGGCATACCAGACACGAAGTACACAAACATTATAGGATACACTTTGCCAAAAGGTATGGTCAGAAAGCGCCCGCAAGGTATCTTATACTGAAAGGTCTCGGAGCGTGCACGTCGTCCCCGCGGAGCCGACGCACACGCAGCACGTTTGGCGTTGCAGAGATAGCAAGCGGCATCGCTCTCCGATAAGCACGCTATCCCTATAAGCCTGTAAGGCGGTCCCCCCGCGAGGGCCCCTTCTGTGCACGGCATCCCTCTGCAAACGAATCTTCGGTGCACGCTGTCCCCGAGGTGGTGGATGGCGAGTAAAAAGCGGGCTGGCGGCGCCGCAGCGCACGCTATCTTTGCAACGCCAACCGTACCAGTATGTTCTGGCGATGCCGATTCGACAGGAGGGGGGGGAGAGAGAGAGAGAGAGAGAGAGAGAGAGAGAGAGAGAGAGAGAGAGAGAAAGAGAGAAAGAGAGAAAGAAAGAGAAAGAAAGAGAGGGAGGGGGAACGAGCTAGGCGGGAGGGGCGAGCGGAAGAAGCACACGCTGGGAACAGCGGGCGAGCGAGCGAGAGCGAGAGAAAGAGAGAGAGAGAGAGAGAGAGAGCGAGCGAGCGAGCAGCTACGCAGGAGCGGGAGCCTCGAGGGTCGGCGCGGTGTCGGCGCTCCCCCCCCCCCGCGAGCTCGAAGAGGTGGACAAGAGGACGGGCGGAGAGGCGGAGGGCAAGCAGGGTAACAAGCAGGGGAATCAACATGCAAACTCTGACCGACAAGCGATTTCTTATTCGGCGTTTCGACGTTGGGCGGAAAGGGGGGGGGGAGGGGGCGTCTGGCTCCGGACCTTTGCTTAACGCGACTGTTTGCCATGGGAAGCTCCACCTGCTTGAAGCAGGTGCCAAAAACAGCCAAAATCTACCCCATGCGGGGGGGAGGGGGTGCGAGGGCCCGCGCCGATTGGCAAAACAATGAATAAACACTCTGCCCCTGAATTCCGCAATGTTGTGTCGCGCAGGGATGTTTGGGCCTCAATCCTGCCCCCACCTGTGCGCTCCTCGTCGGGCGGCGTAAACCGCGTTTCGTGAAGGTCCGCGCGGATTTCTCGGATGGCGCTGGACCCCCCTCCCTGGCGCGCGGAACGCGCCAGGGGCGGCGCCAGAGGCGCCGCTCTGGGGCTCCAGCGCCGATCCGGAAAATCTGCGCGGACCTCCGAGTTGTTATGTTCATGCCAGTGTGTGTTTCGTGTTTCACTGGCGAGCGGGCAAGAGTGGCTCGACCGTCCCTCCCAAGGGGGCCTGGGCGCCGGCGTGGCCAAACTGCACCTCCGTGGCGAAGCATGAGGCGCACGTGCCCACGCACCTGGAGGACGGAAAAGCTGCAAAGCCATAAACTCACGGAGGTCCGCTCGGTTTCTTATTGGATCTGCGCTGAGCCTCCTAAGCCAAGCAGATGGGAACCCTGCCCCCTGCAGGTCCGATTTTTGAAAAAGCGGCTGGGGGGTCAGAACCTGAAGGATTCTTGCAGCCAAGTGAACCTCAGCGGGGGTGTCCGACTCCCCAGCGTCGGTTGGAGCCGCAAGGGCAGGGTTTGCTAGTGGTCCCAAAATGAACTCTCGGAAGTCCGCGAGGTTTTCTGTTGGATCTGCGCTGACCCCCTCCATGGCGCGCGGAGCGCGTCAGGGGCGGCGCCCAGAGGCGCCGCCAGTGGTTCCAGCGCAAATCCAAGAACTCTGCGCGGAGGGCCTGACTTTTATGTTGATGCCGTGTCTTTCGCCCTCGAGCACCATGCAATGACAGGCTTGGTGATGCGGCCGCTCTTGACCGCGTCGATGAGGTCGTACTCATCGATCCCGCCGACCTCGCCTAGGAGCAGGAGCGCCTTCGCGCCAGCGTCGTCCTGGTAGCGCAGGAAGTGGTCGAGGAAGCGGCTGCCCGGGTACCTTTAATAGGGGGACGACAGACGCAAATATCCGACCTCGGCCTTCAGGGGCCGGCGATCGGGCCCAGGGACCACCAAGATGGGCTTGGAACGACGAGCTGCCCTCAGGGAAGGGGCCAGGGCATGGTGGGCCGTGATTGCCGGTGGGTCGAGGAAGCGGCTGCCTGGGTACCTTTAATAAGGGGGACGATGGACGCAAATATCCGACCTCGGCCTCCGAGGCCCGTGATCGGGCCCAGGGGCCACCGAGGCGGGTTCGGGACGACGAGCTACCCTCAGGGAAGGGGCCGGGACCAGGTGGGCCGCGATTGCCACCTCAAGGGGTCGCGGGGGCCAGTTCAAGGGAGACTCATCGACCTTGAATCGGCCATATTCCTATCTATATAATCTGACACCAGGAAATTCGGACCCCCCCCCCCAAATGGATCCCGGAGGCCCCTCCCGCCTCCTTATTTATCGAGTAGGGCGGCCTCCGAGGCTCAAAAAGAACGTTTGACTTGAGACATCCTCTGAAAACTGCCCAAGACGGCCCTAGAAGCGCCTCAGACGGCCCAAGACAGCCTCAAGACGGCCCAAGAGGGCTCCAAGAGAGCCCAAAACCGCCCAAGATTGCCCAGGAGGCCCCCAAGAGGCGCCCAAGAGGCGCCCAAGGGGCGTCCCAAGAGGGCCCCAAGAGGCGGAAATCATAGATTTTCCCTGGGGAAATGTATCTTTTTAGCATATGCGTTTTGTCGGCTTTCACGATGTTGACGACGGCCCAAGAGGCACCCAAAACCGCGCCAAGACGGCCCAAGAGGCTCCCAAAGAGGCCTCCAAAACGGCCCAAGAGGCCCCAAGACGGCCCAAGAGGCGCTCAAGACGGGCCAAGAGGGCGCCAAGACGGCCCCAAGATGGGGGACCACGAACCGAAAAGCTTAGCCTTTCGCCCCAAGACGCTCCCAGGAGGCACCCAGAGCCCCCCAAGAAGCCCCAAGAGGCCCCTCAGAGGCGTCCCAAGAGGCCACCGGGAGGCGAAAATCATTGATTTCCTATGGGAAGAGGTACACTTTTAGCATACAAGGCTTTTC